GGAAGGAAGGAAGGAAGGAAGGAAGGAACAGAAAGTAAGCAAGAAAGAATTACATTAATGGAAATTGTTATGAAAGAATTTTCTGATAGAGAAGATGGTGCATTCTATGCATCAATTTTTTTAAAGGCAGAAACAGGAAATCAAATTTAAATCGGGTCAGAAAAGTTAACTTTTACCATAAGGAGAAAATCCTTTACCTATCCAGGTGTTTTGTCAGGGTCTGCCTTCTCTAACTCTGGAAACTTTTAAAACTTCATGTTCATTTCTTCCTTTAAAGAGTGAAGTTCGGCCGGGCGCGGTGGCTCAAGCCTGTAATCCCAGCACTTTGGGAGGCCGAGGCGGGTGGATCACGAGGTCAAGAGATCAAGACCATCCTGGTCAACATGGTGAAACCCCGTCTCTACTAAAAACTACAAAAAAATTAGCTGGGCATGGTGGCGCATGCCTGTAGTCCCAGCTACTCAGGAGGCTGAGGCAGGAGAATTGCCTGAACCCGGGAGGCGGAGGTTGCGGTGAGCCGAGATCACGCCATTGCACTCCAGCCTGGGTAACAAGAGCGAAACTCTGTCTCAAAAAAAAAAAAAAAAAAAAAAAAAAAGTGAAGTTCACCAACTCTTGTACATACTTAAAGAGATTAATTTTTAAGCTCTCTGCTCTGATATAAAATGTACACCATCTCCTCTCCTTTCATGTTCAATTCCCACTGGACCAAACCAGGCATAAAAAGTTTGAAGGAGCCTCAGCTATTACTAAGGGAGAAATACATGGTTGAAGAAATGGGTCAAGGAGATTTAAAAATAAGCCCATCTATTAATTATTGTTTTCTATATGTCAAACACATACCCCCATGCACTCATTTAAATCTTATAATAGCCCTAAAAAGTAAGGAATGTTATAACCCTTCTTGTATACTTAGTGCACTAAAGCTAGGACGACGTAGCTAGTCCAAGATTACACAGTGAGTAAACGGTGGAACAAGAACTTGATCAGACACAGGTAGTCTGTTTCAAGGTTGTGCTCTTACCCACTGCCTTATACCCCATCCAACCCCTCAGTGATATGACACAATGAGAGAACTGCTGGGGCAGATAAGCCAGTGGCACTGCTAGGATTACAGACAAATCTTTTAGGATTACAGACAAAGAGGCACTGAGGACACTAGTTCTGCATGAACCACAACCTTACTCAGAGCAAAAGCTGGTCCTTCGGAGATGTTTCCCAAAAAACAGATGTGACTGGGAAGAATTCTAAAGGCAAAGCTATGAAAGCCACTGTGGAAATTCACAGAAATGGTGCCTGCCCATTATGTGAAGTTCTGGTCAGTAGAAGACTTTTTTGTCAAGTAATGACGTAAGAAGTGATTTACAGCCACCCGGCATTTTACCATGATGCGCCTCAGTGTGGGGTTTTCTTTGTATTTTCTTGCCCAGCTTAGAGTAAACAGTGCTTCCTGAAACCATTAGCCAATTTTGGAAGATCCTTGTTAACAACCTTTTCAAATACTGCTCCTGCCCTATTCTGTTCTCCCTGCCTTCAAGGACTCCAATTACATACATGTTAGACCTTTCACCACATCCTGTGTGTCTCTCATACTCTTTCCTGAGTTTTCAATCCCTTTCCTCTCTCTGCTCCAGTCCATTTCTTTCTGACTTACCTTCCAATTCGCTATTCATCTCTTCAACTGTCATCTGCTGTGAAGCCCACCATTGAACCCTCAAGATCTGTTGTTCTGAGTTCTAGAATTTCCATCCAGTTCCTTTTTGTCTCCAGTTCTTTACTAGAACTCGCGAAACTGTGATCTAATGTCTTGATATTAATCAGTTACCTTAAAGTCTGTGTCTAATACCTCCAATGTCTGGATATACTGTAGATCTGTTTTTATTGTTTCTTCACATGTTTTTCGGTCATGTAGATTAAACCCTGTATATGACAAACTATAGAAGGAATCTGAAGCTCTGGGTGATGTTACCTTCCTCTCAAAAGCATCTGTTTTGCTCCTGGAAATCAGTTCAAAAAGGGGTAGATCACTCTAATAATATCAATGATTAAGCTGATTTAAATGTGGGCTTGCCTTTGTGAGGGTTTCTCTACTTCTGGCTCATCCCCTTCTGAAGGGATAGACCCAAAGTACATACAAGAGCTCTGCCTACTTGGTGTGCTTTAAATATAGCTTTGTCTCCTCCATCCTATGAGTGCCAGAGGCCCTCCTCTCACCTTCCCAGCCTTTCATTTACTACTTTCTGCTTTGGCAGTAACCTCAAGGGGAGAAGTGGCATCAAATGCCACACTGACTTTGCTGTGCGTCCTTTCTCTCTGAGATGGTGACCCCTCATGTCCTCACTTCCTTGGGAGGCTCTGCTACCATCAAACAGATTCTTATATACATTATATTTTGTAGTTGTTTTCAGTGGGAGGGCTGGTGTACAATACGCTGTCCACCATTATTGAAAGTTCAAATCCCCCTCATGGCATTGTAATTGAAAATGTGGTAAGTTGGGTACTAAAAATTGGATGGGGGGGGGGGAAGCCAACAAGGAAACAGTTATAATCTAGAAGACAAGATTTCTTGGCAAGACAAAACACGGGATGGACTATTCTGATCTCTCCCTTCTCCTCTCATATGCCTAATTTGGATTTAAAAGCTTGAGGAAGGTAAATTAGAGGAGCTAAACAGATTTGTGGAGAAATAATACCTACAGCTAATAATTAGATTTTCTGAAAGTAAAGGTGCATGTTCAGGGGCAAATTTCATTTTACAATAAAAGTAAATTAACAAAATGTCACTGATACTGCAAAAAGGATTTAAAATATTGCTAATACTAGCTATATAGATCAAATCAAATACTAAAGACACAAGCATCTGAATGAAAACAAATAAATATAATACAAATCACATATAAATGAGATAATTCAAAACTTTCCAAAATATTAGTCCTTTCCAGAAAAGCTATATATTACATAACTATATGTGCAAGTCACACTTAAATAGCATTCACTGGTCAACCCAGGATTCAGACACAAACTACTACCTTTTGGTAAACTCTCTCCTTCTAGTTGAGTCAGACTTGAGAGCCCTGGGAAATGTATTAAATGGCCACTGTGTTCAATGGACTGTCTCCCAGAATTCACTTTCCATAACACTCTCTCTCTCTCTCTCTCATTTGGTTCTTTAGTAAAATTAATTTTTAGTTGAATAACAGAAAAGTCACTTTACTACCTAGCTAAGTAGCTGAGGTTTAAATCTAAATCTAAATTTATCATACAGATCTGGTGGATACCAACACTGCCATTCAGGGAACAGAATCTTGAAGGTGATGAGCCTTCAAAGAGGGTAAATGAAGACTCAGAGTCAAGTGAAGATAACCTCATTTCCTTGGCAACTTCCCATTTTACTTGATCTCAGAGAAATCTTAAATGCGCAGTGTAAACTGAATTTGAAACCTAAATCAGATATTCACAAAGCTTTCTCTGAAAAGAGGTTCACCCAAAGGTGGATCTATCAACATATCTATCTTTCTATCCATACACAGAGATACAGACAGACACACACATTACATACACAAATAATTGGAAAACTGGACTGTTTTAGTCCATTCTCACACTGCTAATGAAGACATACCTGGGACTGGGTAATTTATAAAGGAAAGAGTTTTAATTGACTCACAGTTCAGGATGGCTGGGGAGGCTTCAGGAAACTTGCAATCATGGCAGAAGGGGAAGCAAATACATTCTTCTTCACATGGCAGCAGTAAAGAGAAGTGTCGAGCAAAGGGGAGAAACCCTTTATAAAACCATCAGATCTCATGGAGAACTCACTATTGTGAGAACAGCATGAGAGTAACCGCCCCCATTATTAAATTACCTCCCACTGGATCCCTCCCACCACACATGGGGATTATGGGAACTACAATTCAAGATGAGACTTGGGTGGAAACATAACCAAACCACACCATGAACACAATCCAAAAATCAAATAACAGGGGCTTGGTTAAGTAACAAATTGATTTTATAGAAGATTTTCTTTATAACATGAAAAAAAATTCACAATCTAGTTCCAAACATTATAATGTGGAACAAATTTTTATAAGGAAAATGCAAAAGGGTGAGAGTAGAATATATGTGATTTTTAATTTTTCATTTATGCTTTTTTGCATTTTCCAAATTTTCTAATCCAACACAGTGCCAAAAGCTATTTCCTATTCATTCATCTTAAGGTCTATCAGTTACCAATAATCTATTTCTATAGAGAAGCAAAACAGTGTCACAGAAAAGGCCTGGACCCAGAGTAGAAAGATACAAGCCAAGTCCCAGCGTCACCCAAGCCTGAGTCACTCTGAACAAGTCACATCACTTCTGGGGCCCTCAGCTCACCCTTCTAGGAAGACGAAGGTCATCTAAGTACATGAAGTGATACATATGTTAATTAGGTTGATTTGGCCATCCCACAATGTATACATTTCAAAACATCATGTCGTACAACATAGATACAGTATTTGTCAATTTAAAAATAAATTTAAAAAATGAAAATAAAATGATGGACATCATCATCCCTGTCCTGCCTTCTTCCCTCAATAAGCATGAAGGTCAAATGAAGAAATGAAGTAAAGTCCATTAAAGACATCTGCAAAGTGGAAGCATAATCCAAGAAAAGAAATAATTCGTAACTATTAAAAATTATCCTTTTTTTTTTTTTTTTTTTTTTTTGAGACAGGGTGTTGCTGTCTTAGCCAGGCTGGAGTGCAGTGTGATCATGGCTCACTGCAGCCCTGACCTCCCAGGCTCAAGCAAGCAATCCTCCCACCTCAGCTCCCAAGTATCTAGGAGCCAGGCATGCACCACCACACCCAGCTATTTTTTTGTTTTTTGATAGAGACAGGGTCTCACTATGTTGCCCAGGTTGGTCTCAAACTCCTGAGCTCAAGCAATCCACCCCCCTCAACTTCCTAAAGTGCCAGGATTACAGGCATGAACCAGCCTTAAAATGCTTTTAAAGTTCTTGTAGATCTATGACTCAAGCTTCTAAAGTTAAAGGCTCTGTATTTTGCATCAGATAATATAGCCACCCTTATTTACCACGTAGCTGCTCCCTCAAATGTGAACGTGGGACCTGCACAGAGCACCAAGTCAGGAGTGCTGAACAGGTGGAAAGCACCAGCCAATAGAAAGAAAAAAAAATAAGCTGTGTATAAAAACCACTGCAGTGGCCGGGTGCGGTGGCTCAAGCCTGTAATCCCAGAACTTTGGGAGCCCGAGGCAGGTATATTGCCTGAACTCAGGAGTTCGAGACCAGCCTGGGCAACATGTGAAACCTCCATCTCTACTAAAATACAAAAAATTAGCCAGGCATGGCAGTACGTGCTTGTAGTCCCAGCTACTCGGGAGGCTGACGCAGGAGAATTGCAAGAACCCGGGAGGTGGAGGTTGCAGTGAGCCAAGATCGCACCACTGCACTCCAGCCTGGACAACAGAGCAAGGCTCCATCTCAAAAAAATTAAAATTAAAATTAAATAAAAAATAAAAATAAAAACCACTGCAGTGCAGCCAGACATGGTGGCTCACACCTGTAATCCCAGCACTTTGGGAAGCTAAGGCAGGTGCATCACTTGAGGTCAGGAGTTTGAGACCAGCCTGGCAACATGTGAAATGTTGTCTCTACTAAAAACATAAAAATTAGCCAGATATGGTGGTGCACACCTGTAGTCCCAGCTACTCAGGAGGCTGAAGCGTGAGAATCTCTTGAACCCAGGAGGCAGAGGTGGCAGTGACCAGAGGTCGCACCACTGCACTCCAGCCTGGGCAACAGAAACAGACTCCATCTAAAAACAAACACACACACAGGCTGGGTGCAGTGGCCTACACCTATAATCCCAGCACTTCGGGAGGACGAGGCGGGCGGATCACCTGAGATCAGGAGTTCGATACCAGCCTGGCCAACATGGTGAAACCCCGTTTCTACTAAAAATACAAAAATTAGCTAAGCGTGGTGGCAGATGCCTCTAATCCCAGCTACTCGGGAGGCTGAGGCAGGAGAATCGCTTGAACCTGGGAGGCAGAGGTTGCAGTGAGCCAAGATCATGCCACTGCACTCCAGCCTGAGCGACAGAGCAAGACTCCCTTCCAAAAGAAAAAAGAAAAAACCACATACACAAAAACCCACTGCAGTGAAGAAACAGCTGTCCCAGGCCCCCAGTGACATGTTAACAGTGATGATCAAAAAAAGGCAAGGTTGGAATGCTGTGGGAGACACATCCAGAAAGGAAGAACAAGGTCTTTTTTTTTTTTTCTAGACAGGGTCTTGCTTTGCCACCCAGGTGGGAGTGTGGTAGTGCAATCATGGCTCACTGCAGCCTTGATCTCCTAGGCTCAAGCAATCCTCCCACCTCAGCCTCCTGAGGAGCTGGGACCACTGGCACACATCACTATGCCCAGCTAATTAAAAAAACATTTTGTAGAGATGGGATCTCCCGGTATTGCTGGTCTCAAACTCCTGGGCTCACACAATCCTCCCACCTCAGCCTCTCAAGGTACTGGGATTATAGGCGTGAGCCACTGTGCCCAGCCGAGATCATCTTATTTAGATAATCACATACTCCTCTCCCTTCCAAATCCACTAGAAACAGAATCTTGATCAATACACTCAGAGATTTTTTTCCAAACTTTGGGAGAACATTAGTAAAAAAACAAAATAAGTAAAAATTTTGATTTTTATCTCATTTTTAAATTTTTGCCTTCTCTACTCTGACCACAATTCCACCATTTAATCATTTTGTGATCTTGAACAAGTCAACTTTTTAAATCCGTTTCCTTATGTATAAAATGTGCCTGTGCCACTTTTGTGCCACAAACGTGAACATGACATACGAAGCTCTGGGTGGACGTGAATGGACCTGGACTCAGGAATCTGGGACCCTAGTTCTGGTTTTGTCATTATCTACAACCACAATCACACCCCCTCCCTTCTCAGATTGCCTGGGACTAGTTGGCGGATTCCTGAGTCTTCACTCCAGCCACAGTTCAGGCTATACATGTCTGCATGGCCACTGTTCTCCCGGACTAGACTGTTACATACAAGTGACCACTCTGTTATTTCAGGCAGCACTCTGCCTCTGTCTGCTGTGCTAACTTTATACAGATGGTGCTGCCAAGTTGCTAATAACAGTATTGCATTTGAGTTGTTTTTCTAGTTACAGAAATAAACAGCTTCGCATTGATGTGTCCATGGGTTTTTATTGTCTGATAAGACATCTGTGACCAGAACTAGAAATCTGTGACATTTCAAGGCATCCTCCCGCCTTTCCTCCAACTTCTTCCCAAACTAACCATCTTATTTTAACCACAGTGAACATTTGTTTCCAGGTTTCCACTCTATAAACTTCCCATGATGAATAATCAGCATATATAAATTTTTGTCCTTTTTTTTTTTTCGAGACAGAGTCTCACTCTGTTACCCAGGCTGGAGTACAGAGGTGTGATCTCAGCTCACTGCAACCTCCACCTCCCGGGTTCAAGCAATTCTCCTGCCTCAGCCTCTCTAGTAGCTGGAATTACAGGTGCACAACATCATACCCAGCTAATTTTTGTATTTTTAGTAGAGATGGGGTTTCACCATGTTCACCAGGCTGGTCTCGAACTCCTGACCTCAAGTGATCCACCTGCCTCAGCCTCCCAAAGTGCTGGGATTACAGGCATGAGCCACCGTGCCCTTTCCTGTCCGTTATTTTTTAAAGACTCTACTTCTGAAAGTTCAATTATTGGATTAAAAGATATAGATCATTTAAGGCTCTTGATATGTATTACAGCATTTTCTAGAAAAGAAGTACCAATTGATACTCCCATTAGCAATGCATGAGCTTGTGAGCCTATCTCTTATTTGCTAATATGAGCAGTTAAAAAGAAGACACCTCTTTTTAAATTTTATATTTTTGAGACAAGTAATGAGGATAAACATCATCTTTAACTGGGTTTTTTTTTTTCCCTACTGAATTGCCTATGTCCTTTTCATGTTTTTAAGTTGCCAAATGTTCACCATAAGAAAATCTGTACAGCAATTTCTTCCACAGCTAAAAAAAAAAAATGGGAGACTTAACTCTCAACATAAAAATAAAAGGTGACCACCTTCAAGATGGTTGGAATTAATACTGTGCAAATTTAAACATCTATAACATAAAAACTTTTTAAATGTTCATTTCTTTTTGGATCTTGGCAAAAGAGAATTTAGTTCCAGTTGACTCCCCATGATCCCTCCTGCAATTCAAGAATGCTTTCCAGAACTTTTAGATATGCCACGGAGCAGAATGTTGACGTTCTCCTCTCAGCAGCAAAGAAAGTGGTGACAGATATGTCTCTAAAACCCCAGCCATCAGACTGAATTCTTCACACATAAGCAGCACGTGTTCGACTACAGAGATCCCTAAGGATTCTGAAACCTTAATTTTAACATGTTTCTTCTAAAGAAGACTTAAATTTTTTTCTTATTGAGTCTCAAAATCAATAGAAAACTCATTATATTTGACAACAGTTGAGGTTAACAGACTATTATTGTCACCTAACAAAATTATCCTCATTATATAGAGGGTAAAACTGCATAGGACCCAGGCAATAAAAAGTGATGGCAGAGGGAGACAGTCATACACAGTCATCCAATGTCACAGTCATGGAAGATTTGGATATTAACAAAACTGATTTGAAAAACGGGCAAAAATGTAGGAGTATCTGGCTAGATTCTAAAATGTATTAGAAAATGAAAAGTGGTATCAGAAAATGAATTTTTACAAAAGTCAGATGAAAGGTAGTGTTAAATGAGACACAGCATCAAGAAAAAAAATCTCAGCCCAGCACGGTGGCTCATGCCTGTAATCCCAACACTTTGGAGGCCGAGGCAAGCAGATAACCTGAGGTCAGGAGTTTGAGACCAGCCTGGCCAACATGATGAAACCTCATCTCTACTAAAAATACAAAAAAGTAGCTGGGGGTGGTGGCGCGTACCTGTAGTCCCAGCTACTGTGAGACTGAGGTATGAGAATTGCTTGAACCCGAGAGGCAGAGGTTGCAGTGAGCTGAGATTGTACCATTGTACTCCAGCCTGGGTGACAGAGCAAGACTGCCTCAAAAAAGAAAAATCTCGGCTGGGCGTGGTGGCTCACACCTGTAATCCCAGCACTTTGGGAGGCCAACGGGGGCGGATCACCTGAGGTCAGGAGTTCAAGACCAGCCTGACCAACATAGTAAAAGCCTGTCTCTACTAAAAATAAAAAAATTAGCTGGGTGTGGCAGTGGGCACCTGTAGTCCCAGCTACTCAGGAGGCTGAGACAAGAGGAATGCTTGAATCTGGGAGGCAGAGGTTGCAGTGAGCTGAGATCATGCCACAGTACTCCAGCCTTGGTGACAGAGAGAGATTTCATCTCAAAAAAAAAAAAAGAAAAATCGCAACCCTGCATTACAACTGCCTATTCCAAATATGAGGCTCTGAAGAGAGATGCCACCCCAACACTGAATGAAATAAAATCTCTTTCTCTCTCAGATTCACATGGAAGAAAACAAGCTAGAAGGAGACTTCAAGGCACTGCCAAAGTTCTAATGAGAATGAAAGAAAAGGCATACTTCACACTAAGAATTTCTGGATGCTATCCAGAAAGTCTATCTAGTAAAAACGATCATGAGTATTAATTAAAGAAACCAAATTAAGTGTTCTGACACAAGATAATGATTTGAGGGGAAGCTTTAAATTTTTCCACAGGGAAAAGCTTTCCAATATTTTATTTCAATGAAAAAAAGAGCACTAAATCCGAAGTCCTTGAGCAAATGTGTACTTCCTGCCCTAGCAAAACCACCTCACAAGATGTCTGCACATTTTGGACAAGTGCCTCTCCTTACGTCACTGGCTGCTTACTGGAATCTCCTCTCTCAGCTAACATGGCATGCTGTGGGAACCAGGAAACAGAGGGTGAAGCCGTCATTCACACCCTTTCCTCAGCTTATTGGATGTTCACGTGGCCCAGCTGTGCTGCAATGTGCTCTGCAATTCCACGGTTCCCATTTTGTTGAGGAAGGGGGCTGCAAGGCTGAGGACAGCATGGGCTGCAGAAGCGGGCTGCAGGTGCCAGGAAAGGGAGAGGAAGCACTCTAATATGCTTGCTCTGGGAAGTCTGGGTGTGCCTCCCTTTTAACGTCCTTTGAGACAAAAGAGTGGAATGAATAACCTAGCTTGGTTCACGAAGAGGGAGCAGAAGGCAAGTCCGGCTGGGAGAAAGGCTGGAGGAAGGCAGGGAAGGACAGGGAATTCTGAACACAGGAAATCAGCTCCTCCCATCCTATGGTTCAGGGGAGACAGGAAGGCTTTTAAGGATGGGCCAAAGGGCAGAGGTTTCCAGACGGACTGCAGTTGTGGGTCTCATGTGGGCATCATCCGGGCTAAAGGAAAACCAGAGAATGAAATGAGGTTGGAAGGGGGTCAACCCAAGGACAAGAAGGCCAGCAGTAACCACTAAGAAACTCGGTGACAAACAGCCTAGGTCAACACTTTCCACGCTCTTTTTTCAAGATAAATAGATCATCTTGCATGTATTCCTCCCTTTTCAGTTCAAAGGGTAGTTATACAAATATCTGGATCCTGTTTATTAATTTTTTTGAAGAGACAAGAGTCTCGCTCTGTCACTCAGGCTGGAGTGCAGTGGCGCGATCACAGCTCACTAGAGCCTCGACCTCCTTAGCTATGACTAAGGCACAAGCCACCACCCAGCTAATTTTGCTTTTTTATTTTTTGTAGACAGGGTCTTGCTATGTTGCCCATGTTCGTATTAAACGCCTGGCCTCAAGTGATCCTCCCACCTCATCCTCCCAAAGGGTTGGGATTACAGGCATGAGCCAGCGTGCCTGGCCTTTATGCTGTTTAGAATGATTTGGGAATCTTCATTAATACAAGGTCTTTACTCCCACATTAAAAAAAAAAAAAAGAAAAAGTTAAATGGGCTTTGACTGCGTAAGTGTTTGCAAAAAGAGACAGGCAATTTGCAAGTATTTGAAAATACATCTTTCTATAGTAGCGGTTTCCCTTTGAGACACAAGCACAGCTTTTCTTTATTCTGACCTGCCATTAACTGGCCTTGTGCCAGATGACTAGCTTCTAAGTGCCTGGGTTCTCTCCTCTGTAAAACAATGAGGATGACAACTCCCTCAATCGCCTCTGTGAAGATTACAGGCAAGAGCTACAGCTCGTATGGCGCCTAAGACACAGTCAGCACTCCAAACGAATTAGTTCTCCGCCCCAGCTGTCTTCCAGGAGGTAACAGCCAGGGAACTACAACAGCCTCCTTCACTTGAAGTTGCTCTGGGGTCAGAAGTGCTCTTCAAAATAGTTTTACAACTCCTGACTAGTAAATATACCCTGAAAAGGTGAGCACATAGGCCTCAAAGACACAGCTGGGCACAGGTGTTGAGAGGCATCAGAGTAATGCATCTCAGCTGGTAGCAAGCACTTTCCAATACTCCAAACTGTGCTCCTTTCAATGAGAGTAAATGCTACTAAGTGGCTGCAAAAATAAAACCACCACGAGAAATCCTTTCTTTAAAAATCATTTAATGAAAATCACACTCACATTCATATAGCTCTCTCTACATTTCATGCTTAACAACCTAATTTCTTCAGTTGCCCAAGTTGTGATGCTTTTTCCCACCTCGTTATCTTCCACAGGTCTGGAATACACTGTCCTTTCTCCATCTTCACCTGGCCATATCTCTTTACCTTTTAGATCCCTGACTGTATTAGTCCGTTTTCACACCGCTATCAAGGTTCTACCTGAGACTGGGTAATTTATAAACAAAAGAGGTTCAACTGACTCACAGTTCTGCATGGCTGGGGAGACCTCAGGAGACTTACAATCATGGCGAAAGGCAAAGGGGAAGCAAGCTTCTTCACAAGGTGGCAGGAGAGAAGAATGCAAGGAAAACTGCCACTTTTAAAACCATCAGATCTTGTGAGAACTCTCTATCACCAGTACAGCATGGGGGAAACGGCCTCCATGATCCAATCACTTCCCACAGGGCCCTCCCCCTGACATGTGGGGATTACAATTCAAGATGAGATTTAGGTGGGGACACAGAGCCAATCATATCACTGACACCACCACTGAAGCTGGGAAAAGGGCACATGGGGATTCATTGTACCATTCTCCATACTTTTGAATATTTGTGAAAATTCCATAGTTAGGTCTTTTAAAAACTATTTAATACAAGAAATGAAAGAAAAACAAGGTGGGTTATCCCAAATACACCAATCCCACCTGTCCATGAACCTGAACTGTGGCACATCCACTAACAAATACGTAGCATGGCCCAGGATCTCATGGATGTGTCCTCAGTAACCCCTGGCCTGTTTTATGTGTCATACAATTTCACATATTTCAGCGAGTCTGGAGGCATACTTTTTTTTTTTTTTTTTTTTTGAGACAGAGTTTTGCTCTTGTTGCCCAGGCTGGAATGCAATGGTGTGATCTCAGGTCACCGCAACCTTCGTCTTCCAGGTTCAAGTGATTCTCCTGCCTCAGCCTCCTGAGTACCTGGGATATAGGCATGCACCACCATGCCAGGCTAATTTTGTATTTTTAGTAGAGACGGGGTTTCTCCATGTTGGTCAGGCTGGTCTTGAACTCCCGACATCAGGCGATCCACCTGCCTCGGCCTCCCAAAGTGCTAGGAATATAGACGTGAGCCACCGCGCCCAGCCACATGTTTAATATTGTAGATAATATTAAGCTATCACAATGGATAACTCCTGTTTTATATGTCATCATACAATTTCATATACTGAAATATACGAAATTCATTTCGCTTGATCTGAAGCTGAAAAAAGTATTAAACAAAGAGCCAGCATTATTTCCCCAGCTCCCACTGGTATAAACAACGTGACATTATCATCAGTGTTCTGTGGGACCAATACATTTGGAAAATCTGCAAGAGCTGCTGTTTTTAAGCAGAAAACAGTATCAGGGAGAAAAGAGAGCAGAATTTAAGAAGAAAAAAAAAATGTGTTTTCTTGTTCCTTATCCCAAAATGAGTTTAAAGTAGAGAATCAAAGCACAAACAAGTTATCCAAAACTGCTGTGTAAGAGCCCCCTGACTTACACGAAGCAAGCATTACATGCAAGTCCGGGGGCAGCTACCCAGCCCACCTGTTCCACAGCTCCTCCCCTCTTTCCAATGACTGTGCCTCCTGCACACTTGCACGCCTCGCACCTCTGCAGGCATTTCAGAGGCCTCCAAGGTGCTCTCCCTGGCAGGGCTCAACCACAAGAAACCTGGCCAAAGCTCTCCCCAGGGAGGATAGGAAGGGGTGGTGACCTGGAATGAAGGCCTGGGACTTCCCCAGACTCAAGCGCTCATGGTAAAAAAAACCACAGTAGTAATAATTAGCTAACATTCTAAGTGCCTACTGTGTGCTGAGCACCATGATAGATATTTTATTCATATTTTCATTAATCCTCACAACTCTTCTATGAGGCTGAGGAATTTCATGATAGAGAAAACTGAGCAAAAACAAAACAAAAACGCTTTGATGAGAGGTTGGGGGAAAGATCTTGCACAAGGATTCATAGCTAAATAGACTTTGGACACAAATAAAAGTAGGTGAACACCAGAGCTCTTTATTACGCTATTAAGTTTTGGTAAGCTCAATTAGGAGGTGAAACGGCAGTACAAGACTGTATTATAGACATGTCACAAAGACAGGTTAGCTGAGAGCCCATCCCGCACACTGCAGGGAGACTGTCAACAGCAGGAACACAACATCAGCACCCCACCTCACAGAGGAACAGAGTTCTATCTACTCTCCTCTGAGGACCCAGACCTGGGAAAATGACTCTAACTAAGCCAGAATGCCAACATATTAAGTTACAATGAGAACTATAACTTGGAGGAACACCAAAACACTCAGTGTCTAAGTTCAATTTGCCCTCTTCCCAATGGCAAAATTTACATGGGCAATCAAGTTTCCACCAGAAAATTGCTTGGTAAACACTAAAGTACAGCATTAAGATAGTTAGATGGCTCAAGTCATAAAAACCTGAAACAATGGTACTATAAATACCAATCATCCTAGGTTTTCTGGGATAATCTTCAGTACTCCTATCATGAGACAAAATGTTGTGAGCTAGTATTTCAAATACATGACCATCCCTGCCAAGACAGTGGCATCTCCTCCTTTTCATATTCAAGGCTCTATATAGATCATACCTTTCCGATAACATACTTACCTCAAAAACCACTCTAATCTGTGCAGTTTCCTTGTTTTATAATCATACTGTGCTTTTGAGAAAACATGCTTATCTGGTTGGATTCAAGAAGCACACGTGTCCAACAGATTTGGAAAGCAGGTTCCTCTTGTCATATAGCACGCTGACATAGTAGACGAGGCCTGAGTGTCCTCATTAGTACTATGACCACTCTTTGACCTTTGATTTCAGATGCTAGCACTTCTTAATTTTTGTGCCCAACTCTACACATGAAACACTTTTGGAATAACTAGAGACATGACTTTCTTTATCTGGGAAAAGGAGGGCATTAAACCAGATTAGGGACTGGGAGGGGAGGTTGTCAGGGGATGAGTTTCTCCTAAGCAGAGGTGGAAGGCAAGCTTCACTCAGCAGTTGGACTCTCACCTAGTTTATAGACTGAAATCCTGCATGGTGGTTACAACAGTGAACAATATGTTCATACACATAGACTCTGCCCCAAGGGAACCTACTGTTTTTTGGTTTTTAAGAGACTGAATAGTAATACATACATATGTGTGTGTATATATGTATGTACATACATATGTGTATATGTACATACATGTGTGTGTACATATATGTAGTATGTACATGTCCACAGGCAGAGTCACCCAAAAATTCTATTTTCTGTTTCCTTAAGTATTAAAATGAAAGGAGAAGACTGCTGCCACTCAGCTGCCACATGCTGCTTCTATGAATCCTGGTCCTTCTCTGCCCATTACTCAGAAGACAGGCTGAATGACACAAAACCAGAAAGTTTTGAAGTTGAAAAATCAAACTGGATTTTATTAAAATATATATAAATAACACTAATTTTTCTTTATTTCATCAGCATTGGGAAGTTAAGTGAAAATTAACTAAAAAGTAGTAGTCCAAAGAGAAACAAAGGCTGAAAGGGAATCAAGAAAACCATATTCCATCACAGATCTGCCACTACCCAGTCTGGGGAAGGCATTTGGTGTCCTGGCCTCAACTGTCAAATGAGGTGGCTGAAATATATGTTGTCTAGAGTCAATTACAGCTCTACAATTCTGTTCTAATTCTACCATTAGGAGCCAATGCTAATGTTATGTATTGACACATAAGCAGATACTCACAATGAAAGGGGAATAAACATTGAACTCATCAGGATACTTTTAAGGAAGAGAAGAGAAATACAGAAGTTTGCGGCTTTAAAAAAAAAATTCATTAATGTTACTGTTTTATTCACGCTAATTAGGATATATACACAAAAAATGTGTATCATATATCACTTTCAAAAATTTCCATGTTCCATGAGAACTATGTAAACAATGCAAAATGTTTCTACTACATAACAAAAGAAGAAAATCAGCATTCCCATGTAGTATTAGGAAAATATTTGGATAATTTGAATTTATAATAAAACAAAGTGAAATATTACAAAGCAGTCTTTTCATGAAGTAGCCTTATATAGCCCAGAAGCAATACATTTCATACTTTCAAACACTTTGGTATAAGTGAAATCAATACAAGGCAAAAAAAAAAAAAAAAAAAAAAAAAAAAAAAAAAAAAAAGAA